TCTTGTTGTGCAAGTCAGGTTCTCAGTTATATGCAATAGAAATTGATTCAGGCTAATTTAAGAAAGGAAAAAAAAAATGTGTATATTGAAAATATATGGGGTAGCTCCCAGAATTGTCAGGAATGTTGGAGAGCCAGACTTGGAGGAGAATCAACTAGAATCACAGCCAAATCATACCACAGAACTAGTGCCCATTGGCCCTCCTGGTGAGCACCAAACACTGCATCTTCATCAACTGACACTTCAGTTCTTGACCCTGGGCACTACAGCTGGCACAGCTGCCACCACCAGGAAAGATTCTCTACTATCTCTGCTCTTTTGAGTCACTAGCTTTCCATTCAAACTTGGTGGCAGACGTATCTGTGTTAATATAAACAACTCAAAAATCGGCTCTGTGTACTGGCCCAGGTTGTTTACTTCTTCAAACCAAGCTGAGGCCCATTGGCCCAAAAAAGTGTGCTGGTGCCCAAATCAAATATGTACAAATCCAACCTGTTTGTTTTAAAGATAGCATAAATACACAGATTTTTGGCCATATAGGGCCTGCTTGATTTACATATGCTGGGAAACTGAGCCAGACATCTACTAGTCCTGGAAGATAAAATCCTGAAGTTATAGGGCCTGGAGGTACCGCTGCCTTTGGAGCTCTGTGACCAGACTCCCCACCTTGCTGCAGAAGGACATCACATAAGGATGCGCTTCCCTCCCTCCCTTCTCTACCCTGGGGTTTTCATTCTCTTCTCATTTTAGTGGCTCCCTCCACCACTCCGGAAGATGGCATGGTCTGGGGCCCAACACCCACCCCAAACACATATGCAGCTGTCAACGTACTGGCCCCAGTAAATAGCCTGTTGTGCAATGATATCTCTAAACCTCTTGATCACATCTTTTTGCTTGATCTGCACCGGAATCCCTGGAACTCACTATAATCTGATTGATGCAGCAATGTCACATGCCTGCACCCCATGCTGGAAAAACAAGCAACCATTGTTCTCAGCCTCTATACTGGGAAGGCATTTGACTGCTAACCAGAAGGCTGGCAGTTCAAACCCACCAGCCACTCCTGGGATGGAAGGTTGGGGAATCTAGTGATATAGCCTCAGAAACCCAAGGAGGGGTCACTTTGAGTTGGATCTGACTCGACGGCAATATATATATATTTTAATATATATATATATATATA